GTGTGTCCCTCTGCGTCCAAATCTCCCCTTGCAGTAAGGACACTGGACATGTGGGATGAGGGCCCACCCTAACGACCTCATCTTAATGAATTACATCTGCAATGACCCTATGTCCAAATAAGTTCACGTCCTGAGATGCTGGAGGTTGGAACTTCAACACAGTCTTTGGGGGCGGGTGGGGGAGCACCCGTGAGTCCATGACACGTGGTAAGGACACACCTTAGGGATGGATTTCATAGAGCAAAGCTACCTTGGACTTTGAAGGTTGAGGGGAATACATTTTTTTAAAGATTTTATTTACTTTTTTTTTTTAGAGAGAGTGGGGAAAGGAGGGAGAAAGAGAGGTAGAGAAACAGATTAGTTGCCTCTCACAAGCCCCCAGCTATGGAGCTGGCCTGCAACCCAGGCAGGTGCCATGACCAGGAATTGAACCGGTGAATTTTCAGTCTGGAGGCTGGCACTCAGTCCACTGAGCCACACCAGCCAGAGTTATGGGAATAAATTGTTATCTTATTTTATGCTCTATTATTTAGGGCCTCTGCTATATTCATCCAAATGTGTGATCTGTCAAGGTCTGGAAGGGGTACAGATATCAACCCCAGGGGGTAATTGAGGAATATGAAACAAAAGGACAGACAGCATTGGAGAAATTAAGGGCTGGCGACAATGAGGAGCTGATACCAGCCCAGGCCTGAAGGGGCAGAGGGAGAAGGCAGTTAAAGGAGCCAGGGCCTGTGGTGGATGGAGGCAGCCATTGCAGACCCGAGGTCCTGCAGGGGGTGGGCTGAGGAGTAGCTACTGGAACTGCTCTCTTCCTGTCCTCCAGTCTCCTGCTGGCACCTTCCATTGGCTGAATGAACCCAGAGGACCAAGGGGCCCACCAGTGCTCTCCATCATGTCAGCTGCAGGGCAGGGCGGGGTCGGGTGGAGAGCTGACGGAGAGTACCCAGCAGACTGGCACTGAATCCCTGCTGCTCGCTGTCCCTGCTGGCTGTGAGCTCAGGAGGCCTTGTCATCTTTACACAAGGATCCCTGCTGATCAGAACAATGCCTGGATTCTAGTAGATCTTCAACAAATATTTGTTGAATGTGTATGTGCCAGGAGAGCTGTGGGATACGGGTGGGGTTGCAGAGCTTCACACCTCTTCCACCACCAACCCCCAGAGCAGCTGGTGCAGGGCGGTTCTCCCCCCATCCCTGCTCTGGCCCAGGCAGACGGGGCGCTAGCCATGGGAAGCAGGCCGTCCCTGCTCGGTCCCAGCTGAGGCAGTGGCTTCCTTGGGTCAAGAGCCACCTGTATGCAGTCCCAGCCCTGGGTCTCCTCAGTGGCTTCTTGGTGCCATTGCAGGGCAGATGGGGCCCTGGCTTGACCCTGGGTCTCCGTCCTCATCCCTGAGGCCAAGCTGTCTCATCTGAGGGGGATGGTGCTGGTAGTGGGGACTCTAGAGCAATGAGCCCTCGCAGAGCCCTGGACCTACAATCACTGTGTATGACTCACAGTGGACATTGCCACCCTCAAGGCTATGAGAGGTCCTGAAGGAAGGGATTTGAACTGTGTTTAATATGTATTTTCTAATCCCATTTGACCTTCGATTCTTTACTATGTGCCCACTGAGTTCTGTTCTGAGACCTGAGGCCTCCTCTGCGAACAAAGCAGACAAAACCCCTGCCCCATGGGGCTCCATTCCTGCAGGTCCATTTGTCACGGAACACCTGTTTGTGCCCTGTAGAATGCCACTCTTCCAAACAGCCATCCCCACGCGGCACAGCTTCTCCACACGGAGTCCCAGCCTCCAGATGTGCCATTTATGAATGTCAGGGTCAACTCTACTTTCAGAGCAGGAAGTCAGGCGTTTGAAGAATCCTTTAGCTTCGTTCATTCAGTTGTTGCCTCTTAATGTCATGTTGAGTACCTACTGTGTGCCTCACCCCTTCCAGGTACCGGGAATTCAAAGGTGAACAGGGGAATGTTTTGTCCTCATGGGACTTCCCATCAGGTGCGAACTAGAAATAACGGAACTCCTCAAGAGAAAGACTCCCAGCTGCTCCACCCCCTGTCCCTACCCTTCCCAGACCTACCTCCAAATTCCCCACAGTCTCCCAACACCGGCATTTCCACAACCCACTCAGGACACGGCTTGCTGTGCTTCAGGCTGAGGCCTACTGCACAGCTGGCCCCTCAGCTTCCCTGGCCAGCTCCCTCTTCCCAGGGGTTGAGAAGAGGTTCCTCTTCGGGGAACTCGCTCCATGTGCTGCTAGGCCAGAGAAGCCCCAGGGGGCAAATCAGCAGCGCAGCTGACAGTGTGTCTACAAGGCCTGAAGGTGAGATGACATGACATGACGGATTGTGAGCGGACAGTCATCCTGGAGGGCAGAGGGCCAGGGTGGCCACATGGCTGTCTGCAGAGCCCACAGAGTGGCTGGGACCTGCTCAAGGCCACCTGGATAAAGGCTGGGACAGCTTCTTGTGCAAACTTGGGGGGCGGCTGGGGGTTACTGTCTGCCAGGCCAGGCAGTGACAAACCAGAGGGCCTTAAGCCAGGCCTTGCGGTTCTTTGGGTCTCGATTTTCCTATCTGTCAGACAGAAGCAATGGATGAGATCATTAGGTCATTTTAGGCTCAGTCCCACCATTCTTCAGTGGAATCTGGCAGTTTCTGGCCTGGCCCTCACCCTCCTCACCCCTCCCTCTTTCTTCCCCAGCTCAGGGTCTGAGAAATGACTCTGAGCTTTAAAGCTGAGCAAACAAACATGTCCGGGCCCATAGGGAACAGGTGGTAAGGGAAGGCACGGCTATTTTTATCGCAGTTTGAAGAATTTTCACAGCTGCTCCTGTTGCGTCCACACCCTTTCCGTGGGCCCAGGCTATTGGGGTGGCAGACATTACTGAGGATGTGATGGGAAGGGGTGCGCTTTGGATGGAAGATCTGCCCAGCTGATGCCCGACACACCATCTTTAGGGACCCGTCTGAAGCCGCTAAGCATTGCCTTCCTCCCATGCTTCTGGAACGTGGAAGCCCCGGGAAGGGCTCTGCACTGAGGCAGCAACCCTGGCAGGAAGGAATCTGGCCACTTCTCAGAGCACTGGGTTTTGAGGGCTGACAAGTATTATTCAGGAAAATCTGCAGAACCAGTTTGCCTTATTTAGCTAAGACTTATCGTGCACCTATAACGTGTTGGCCCTGGGCTGGGGGCTGTCGCCAGCAGCCGATGAGGATGTGCTGTCTTTTCTTCAGGTTAGTGTGAACTGGGTTCACTGGTTTTGTACCAGTGCTCCCCACTTCACAGGGGTGATCTCAGGTATCGATCTGTCTTCACAGTGCACCCCAGTCCCAGCCTGATCTCTCTATTTCCACCTATGCTTCCCAAGGCCAGGCCCTAGCCCCCCTCACATTTTGCCTCAGCCCGTAATACCTCCCTCTGGTCCCCCACCGTCTCTCACCCACAATCCTTCACTCAGCACACAGGAAGAGATTTTTTTTTAAAGATTTTATTTATTTATTTTTAGAGGGGGGAGGAGGGTAGGAGAGAAATATCAATGTATGGTTGCCTCCCATGCATCCCCCACTGGGAACTAGCCCGCAACCTAGGCATGTGCTCTGACTGGGAATCAAACTGGGACCCTTTGGTTCGCAGGCCGGTGCGCAATCCACTGAGCTACACTTTGCTTGCTTTTTTATAGTTGTATTCACCTACTTGTATTTCTCAAAAAGTACATTTTAAAATTATAGTTGTTTTTGACTCTATAAAAAGGGTAACAAAACTGCGTTTAATTTTCCAGGGACTTTTTTTTCCTAACTTATCTTCCTAGGAATGACCTACTTCGTGGTGTGTCACTGCGCTTTCATTCTGTCCAACTGCTGATTAATACTCACCCCATCCTCCAAATAAACAACACACACCCATCCTTTCTCCTTGACGAACACTTGAGTTGTGACTGAGGACTGAGGACGGGGCTGCGTGGCACAGACTGTGCTCGCCTCCTGCAGGCAGGGGTGAGATTTTTCTAAAGGGTTTCTACCAGGGATAGACCTGCTGGGTCACAAGTGAATTTGGCTTCAGGTGTCACCTCTTCTTCAGCGTCATCCCCGCCCCGCTCTCCACCTTGACTATGCTCCAGCCACTCTGACCGCCCCCCATGCCCCTGGCCCCTTGAACAAACCAAGTCCATGGCGACCTCTGGACCTTTGCACTTGCTGTCCTCTCCACCTGGAGTGCTTTGCCTTCAGGGCTTCCCATGGCTGGCTTTTGCTTGTCCTCTAGGACTCCTTCAAACACAACCTCCTTAGCCCAAGTGTCACTGTCCCTAGCCCCATCTAAGTGAGTTACTCCCGTTCCCACCCAGTCACTCATGTGTTGTTTTCTTTAGAGCCCCTACTACCACAATCAGAAATAGCCTTTTTTTGTTTGTTTGTTTGTCATTGTTTCCCCTACTAGACTCAAGCTCCAGGAGAGCTGGGACCATGTCTTGCTCATAGCTGCACCCCTAGTACAGCCTGCTATAGAGAAAACAGTGGGGAAAAATGTATTGAAGTGGATAGTAACATCAATCCCATGTTAGAGATGAGAAATGTGAGGCTCAAAGAGGTTAAACCACATGCCCTAGATTGCAGAGCTTGGAGGCAGCAGGATTTGAATCCAGGTATGGCCAGTTCCAAAGCCCATGTTCTTCCCTGGAAGAGGCTGGCTCATTCTGATATGAACTTTCCTTCCCCCTCCCGTGGTGTCAGCAGGCCATTCAATGCCAGCTGTGTAGCCACATGAGGGAAAGTCTGTGGCTACACAGGTGACATTGTGTAGAATTCCAGGTCCTGCTGTTGGCTGTCATCCATCTCTCCCACCCCCTCCAATGTGTACTATGTGGTGTCATGGCCTTGGACCATGGGAGACCTGGCCTTACACCACCTGTTCCGGAAATGGAGCCCAGTCCAACCTCCCACCTACCTACTTCCCTATATTAGAGTCCCAGGCTCTGGTTCTGGCTCCTATCATCTCAAAATTCACAATGTTCCGGCTGCTTGGTTCCCTTCTGTTGGTAGCCCTTGGTAAGATCCCCGCTTGTGCCTGTGCTGCAGTGGGTCAGGAGTCCTTGAAGTCTGCCACCTGCCCCGGTTCTCATAAACCCAACACCTGTAGGGGGGAGGCTTCAGCTTGTTCCTAGAACATGCTTGTGGGGGCTTTCAGCTTGGTGCTGGGGCAAAATAATGGAGGGGAAGCCATGGATGGACTAGGTCAGGAGAAAGACCCAAAGAGCTATGGTGGGAGTCCTCAGTGGGGCCAGTAAACACAGTCTAATGGTGATGAGCTGTGGTTAGACTACTTAGGTTGAAATTTCTGCCCCTTTGCTTAATCCTCCAACTCTCTTCTCACACTCCTTCTACCGGCTCCACATTCTGTGGTCTAACCTTTTCCTTGTCCCTCTGCCATATTACATTCTAGCTCAGGGCCACCTCCTCCAAGCAGACTTCCTTGACTGACAGAAATGGCAACAGATAACAATAATTGAGTGCTTACTATATGCCAGGAAGAATGCTAAGGATTTTTCCCCCTAATTATTTCATGTAATTCTTACAACAGTCCCACTTTACAGATGGGGAGACTGAGCCTCAGAGAAGTAGAGTAGCCCATCTTCGAATGAGGGGCACGGCTGCACTTCGAACCCAGGCAGTCTTACTCCAAAGTCACTTCTTTTCATGACAATAGCTCTCACTTCTGAAAGGCTCGTAGGTTGCAGGCACTGTTCTAAGTGTACCGAGCCCTTTAATGCTGCCGTGGGAAGAGGCCCCATGTTCATCTCTAGCCCCGGACTCCTAGGCCTCTGCTCTAGTCCAAATGCTCACTGTTCATATGTGGCTACTGAGGTCCAGCGAGGGGGAGGGGCTTGCATGGGGTCACATAGACAATATGTGGCACAGCTGGGATCTGGACCCGGGCTTCTTCTTTGCTTTTGGGTCCCTCTAACTGACTGACACCTCTGTTTTTCCTTCCAGCCTCCGGCTGTGGCAGACCTTCTTTCAGGCCGTCCACCCGTGTGGTCAACGGTGAGGACGCGGTCCCCTACAGCTGGCCCTGGCAGGTAAGAGTGATTCCAGCAGCACCATTTCCAGCTGCCGTAGGCTCTGCACCAGTCTTACCCCGTTGCTTTGCTTCTGCTACTCGCTTCAGCTTCCAAAGGCTGGAGAACCCTTGGATGGTCCACTCCATGTGGCTGTTTTGCCCATTCAACCTGTAACCCTCACAGGCCTCTTTGCAAACTCAAAGTGGAATCTGGGGACGGCGATGTTTAACCTGAGAATTGGTGCACTAAGTGGAATTTCAGGTTTTACATGCGGGGTGGTGCAAAAGCAGGTTTGCTGTGTTTCATATGGAAAATAATACAATAATTAATAAGTAATAAGACAAGAATAAACTCTGTGTTCCATGTACTCACAACTGTAAAGCTACTTTTGTCCAACCCTGTATAGGAAGGGAAATTTCTGGGGACTCATTTCCAGACTCCTCAAATTATATAAAAGGATTATAAGGCCTAAGAGCACTAAAAGGACAAAGGCTTTATAGGAGTCGGGGAGGGAGGCACAGAGGGCTAGACCATTGGACTAACACAGCAACGGCTAGCCACATATGGTTATTTAAATTCAAATGAATTCAAGTTAAATAATGTTGCCCTAGCTGGGTAGCTCATTTGGTTAGAGTGTCACCCTAATATGCCAAGGTTGTGGGTTTGATCCCCGGTCAGGGTGCATGCAAGAATCCACCAGTGAATGCATAACTACATGGAACAACAAATCAATCTCTCTCTCAAAAAAAAATTAGTAAATAAAATTTTAAAAATATACAGGATATTTTCATCACCACAGAAAGTCCTATTGGATGGCACCAGTTCGTAGCAGGGGTCAGTGAACTTATTCTCTGAAGGACTAGATAGTGAGTATTTGAGCCTTTGCTAACCATAGAGTTTTTATTGTAATGACTCATCTGGACCATTGTAGCTCAAAAGCAGCCACAGATGATACATAAGTGAATGAGTGTGACTATTTCCCCATAATTTTAGGTACAAAAAGAGGCCATAAACCCGACCGGGCCCAAAGACTATAGTTTGCCAACCCCTGATTTAGAGAGAGCTTTTGAAAATCAGAATGTGGGAAATGAGAAGAGAGGCAAAAGACTTTGGTGGGTTGTGCCTCAGAGGGCCCAAGAAGCCTTGAAAGAGCTGAGGTTCAGAAGAACTGGGGGCCTGATAAAACAGAGGGCCTTGGGGCTCTCAAGACAGAAGTTGAAGGACAGGAAATGTTGAGTCCCCAGGGAGGTCTCGGGCTGGGGGTGGGAGGACTTTGGATCAGAATGTGATTCGGGACAAAGTGACAGGGCCTCCACGAGCAGCCGTGCAGGTTGGACACTGCCCATTTCCAGAGGACCCCATCCTTTTCTGCGTAAACAGAGCCCTCTGGAGTTGCGCAGGGCACGACGCACACAGCCCTGGGTAGCAGCCCTCATCACGGGGTCCAAACCACTCAGGCTTCTCCCTCCCTGGCCCCCAGATCTCCCTGCAGTATGAGAAGAATGGAAGCTTTTACCATACCTGTGGGGGCAGCCTCATTGCCCCCGAATGGGTCATGACTGCTGGCCACTGCATCTCGTGAGTTCTCTCACTTGCCCTGTCCCTGCATGTGGTCCAGGCAGGCCCTGGTGGGGTAGGCGACTACGGGGAGAAGGGAGGGAGGCCAACCAGGCCTGGCCTGACCTTACCTCCACTGGCAGGAGCTCCCTGACCTACCAGGTGGTGTTGGGAGAGTATGACCGGGCAGAGAAAGAGGGCCCCGAACAGGTGATCCCCATCAATGGTGAGGACCTCTTCGTGCACCCACTCTGGAACTCCAACTGTGTGGCCTGTGGGTAAGTGAACTCTCAGGCCTGGGGCCTAGGGGCTTCTCCCTTCATCTCTCTGTGACCCAAAGCCAATTCCAAGAAGACTCCCAGGGTCAGTGGAGCTGGGTCCAGCAATGGGTTCTACGTGCTGAGGGCGAGAACCGGCAGAGCCTTTAAGATCTAACAGGGGGGTCCAACCTTTTGGCATCTCTGGGCCACACTGGAAGAAGAATAGTTGTCTTGGGCCACACATTAACTACACAAACACCAATGAAAACTAATGAGCAAAAGAAGAAAAGCTTTTAAGTAAATTTACAATTTTGTGTTGGGCCACATTCGTAGCCATCCTGGGCCACATGTGGCCCATGGGCTGTGGGTTGGACACCCCAGGGACACTAGAGCCCAAGGAAGAGTGTGGACTCCCCCAAGTCCACCTAGCTAGTTGGCTTCAAAACCTAGGATTCCTCTGGAACCCGCTCTCCCAAGCCCAAGGGTTTCTCCATTCAACAGATGTCCCCAGGGCATCCCGGGTTCCCAGCACCTTGGGCAAAAGGAGACACACTGGGCTAAGAGTCAGGCTCTGGCACTAAGTCGCTGTGTGACCTGGGAAAGTCACTGCCCTTCCCTAGGCCTCAGTTTCACCGCTTGCCAAGCGTGAACTTCTGGGCTTCCTGGGTGATTATGAGGGTTGAGGGGGCAATCATGAGGTGAGGACACAAAGCAGGGCCTCCTAAGCCCCTCAGCCACATGCAAAGTTGTGTCTGATTGGCTCAACATCTTCTGGTGGGAAGGCCAAAGAAGAGTGCAGCTCCCCTAAAAGTGCAGAACAAGATTGAGGGACCATGACGATAAGAACTTCCCCCACCCTCATGGGGCTCCTGGGGTCAGTGGGGAGAGAACTAAGACCCAGGTGAAGTGACCTGAGAGAGAAGCAGGTGGATGAAGACAGATAGCAGGGACTCTCAAAGAGTGGTCCCCAGGCCAGCAGTATCAGTATCCCCTGAAATCTTGTTAGGAATATGAATTTGCAAGCCCCAATCTGATCCCCTGCATCAGAATCTCTGGGCTGGGGCCTAGCAACCTCTGTTTTAACAAGACTTCCTGGTGATTCTGATGCAGCTGAAGTGTGAGGACCACTGGAGTAAAAGTTGAGGACATTTATGAAGGTCAAGGGTGAGCAGGGAGCTGAAGGGGCCCAGGGAGAAAGGGGGGGCAGCCTGGAGGTGAACTATCTGGAGCAAGGGCTGGGTGGTGAGGCTTGGTCTGGCCAGAGGACCGAGCTCTGTGACTCTTCCCTCCTCCCCAGCAACGACATCGCCCTCATCAAGCTGTCTCGCCCTGCCGAGCTGGGAGACTCAGTCAAGATTGCCTGCCTCCCTCCCAAGGACGACATCCTGCCCAATGAGGCGCCCTGCTACATCAGTGGCTGGGGCCGTCTCACTAGTATGTGCTGACCCTCCGCCCAGCCACAGGGACAGTGGACAGAAAAATAGGGCCTGGGAGCTGGGATTGAGGGCAACACCAGGATCAGTCCTTGCACTTTTCCCCTGTTCTTCCTCCAGCAGAAGTCTTCTCCTGCCCCCCTGTCATATTCCCAAACATGAATATGTTCCATTGAACATTTTTAGTGTCTCCTGAGTGCCAGGTGCTGGGGATGCACATGGACAAAGCAGACAGGACTGTATAGTCTGGTGGGAAGAGAGTCCCCATCTTCCCCATCAGAAGAGCTGCCTGCCTCAAACCCTCTACCCCACACCGGGGTTCCCAGCCCTGACTCCCAGACCCCAGCCCAGGCCCTGCACACCCCCCCTCCCCGACTCCCCGCACTCAGTGCTCTCTGACCCCCACAGCTGGCGGGGCGCTCCCTGACAAGCTGCAGCAAGCGCTGCTGCCAGTGGTGGACTATGCGCACTGCTCCAAGTGGGACTGGTGGGGCATCTCCCTGAAGAAGACCATGGTGTGCGCTGGTGGGGACATCCGCTCCGGCTGCAACGTGAGTCAGCTCCCTCCTGCCCAAGATGGTGCTGAGCTACAGCCACACCACTGGCGGGGGCAGGGCCCTGGGGTACCCCTGCCACCTGCCTGGAAGGTGCAGGAGAGATCTTGCCCGCTTGCCCCATTCAGCTGCCAGGCTAGGAAGGACTATGGGAAAGTCAGGTAGTCAAGACACACATTCTCAGCCTGGGAGTCACGGCCATTGCATTCTAGTGCTGGTTTGCAGTGACTCGACCTGGGAAGTCATTGTCCCTCCCTGGTTCTGAGGCTTGCCTGTCAGCACAGCAAGGAATATTGATCTCTACAGTTATCTTCCACTCTGTTGTCCTGAAGTTATAATTAAACCAAACTATTGTTGTATGATGAGTATGAACAATAACATTGTTTACTGTGATAGTAATAACAGGAACTACCATTTATTAATTGCTTCCTTTCCACTAGGCACTGTGCTAAGATCATACATCTATCATCTCATTTAATTCTCACAACATCTCATAAGACCAATATGATTCTCTATCATAGATGAGCAAACTGAGTCTCAGACAGGTCAAATATCCCCAAAGTCAGAACAAATTCCATTCCTTAAAGTTCAGACATGGCTCAGTCCTCTGCTGCTCTCTGGTGATTCCAGGGCGACTCTGGAGGACCCCTGAACTGCCCTGCTGCTGATGGCTCCTGGCAGGTCCATGGTGTGACCAGCTTCGTTTCTGCCTTTGGCTGTAACACCCGCAAGAAGCCCACTGTGTTCACACGTGTCTCAGCCTTTACTGACTGGATCCAGGAGGTGAGCCGGCAGGCTGGCCAGGAGGGTTCCAGGTGCTGCTTTTCTGAGAGGTGCTGAGGGGAGGGACAGTGGCGGGGGGGGGACAGAAGATCCAGAGGAGGGCCTCAAAGGATCCTAGCAGGTCAGTAGTGAAGGGACCCTCAGAGGGTGTGGGGATGTTTTCTGCTACAGTGTGGCCCCAAGAACTTTGATGGCTTCTGGGTGGAGCTTTGAACTACTGCTGAACTTCCTTATTTCAATAAGTGTTTATGAAGTGCCTTCTCTGGTCCAGGTCTTTTGTCATGAAGGCCAGAGCGACTCGTCCCAGGGTTGCTTCGTGGGGGGACAGATAATCAAATGAACAGTAATGATGAGCTGTGATAGGAGGAGCTCTGCCCCCTCTGAGAGAGCCAGTATCACCTGGGGGTGAATGGCCAGGGGAGATTAATAATGTTTGTAATAGTAATAGTCATCCTTCATAAACTGCTTAAATATGTATCAGGCATTGCAATGAGAATCCTAGTTAATAGTTTAATTTAAACCCCCTCATGAGGTGAATGATTACCCCCATTATACAGATGAGGAAACTGAGGCTCAGAGAGGTCAAGTCACATTCCCAGGATCACAAAGCTAATGAATGGCATGGCTGGGAATTGAAGCCAGGTCCGCCTGGCTTCAGAGACTGTGCTTCTAATCAGGCTATTCTGGGTTTTTCCCCCCTATTTTTCCAGACCATAGAGAGCCACTAGAACCGAGTCCTGGGTGACAATACTGATCCACATGCTTTGCAAAAATAATAAAGTTCTCTCAGAAAATCCCAACTCAAGTCTTGCTTCCTTCTTTGACTCGCCTCTTCCCCTCCAGCCCTTTCCTAAAATCATAGATTTGGTGTGTAGAGATAAGACCAGCTCTAACTCTCTTATATGAAGATGAGAAGAAAAAAGGAGACCCAGAGAGAAAAAGGGAATTGCTACAGGGTGACCCACCATCCCAGTTTGCCTGGGACTGAGGACTTCCCAGGACACAGGACTTGCAGCACTGAAACTCGGAGGGGGGGCGGGAGCGGGTCCTGGGACGTTGATCGCCCTGTATAGCCAAGCACAGTCATTGGCTTTTCAATGTAGGCAGAAAACCATGGTAGAATCTGCAGAAAAACGAACTTTTCCAGCTCCTTGGGAGGCTCATGGTGGAGTGGGAAGGGCCATGTGTTTTCTGCTCCCACTGATGGGCTGGAGAAGGAGGACTACAGTCATTCACTTATTCAACAAGCACTCGTTCCTTGTTCCAGAAAAGGGTTCAGAGGGGGAAGATGACATGGTTCCCACCCCAAAATAGCTCATTATTTAGATAGAAATAAGCATATCAGTATCATCCATTATAACATTTACTAGCAGCTTCTTTGTGGAAAGTTCAGGGCTGGGAGTACAGAGGTGAGTAGGACAACCTGGCAAGAGCCCTTGCTGTGGGGGGACCGACGCACACACAGATGCGCACACGATGCTGGAAATGAGGTCAGAGCACCCAGAGCCGCTGTTAAGGTCCGAGAAGGCTGCCACGCAGCCAAAAACAATGTTAAAAACGACTGATTCCTTTACTCACGCTCTTCCTGAAAACTGTGATAGGAAATATGGTTCCTGTGAGGACACACATATATAATTTTTAATATTAATGCTGTCCCATTGCCCCCTCCCTTTAAAAATTATATTTCTACTTCTGAAAGTTTAAAAGGCACAACATAGCAAATAATGCAAGACACACCCAGGTAGCTCTCCTCCAGAATGAACAAATTTCACATTTTTGCTTCATGTTTTCTAAAATAATGGCTACAATGAAGGTAGAGGCCCCTTTGTAATCTCCCCAGGCGTCACCATCATCATGGGTGTGGGGTCATCACCCTATTACTGCTTTTCCTTTAGGGCACACTGCAGGATAGATCTTGCCTGCCCCCCGAAATTTGGTTTGGCCATGTGGTTTGCCCTGGCCAAGGGGATGATTTGACGGTTGGCCAAGCTCTCTTTCTTTCTCCTCTGGCAACTGGTGGCTACAGGTCGGCCTGGTCCCAGAATGAGGTGACATGATACAGGGCCTCTGCTGACCCCTGCTGGACATGTAGCACAAATAAGAAATAAACTCTTGTTACAAGCCACTGTGATTTTGGGGTGTTTGTTATAGAAGCATGACCCTAACCGATCCTGACTGATAAAATGAGTTGGGTGTTTATCCTTCTACTCTCCATGCTGTTATATTTTTATTGTGTATATAAATATCCATAAACAATATATTGCATTGTGTTAGTTCTTAAGAATACATTCATGAAAACAGACTCATAGTCACAGAAAAAAGACTGAGAGTGGCCAGCGGGGAGAAGGGTTGGGAGGCTGCGTGGAAAAAGTGAAGGGATTGAGAAGTACAAATTGGTAGTGGCGAAACAGTCAGGGGACTGTAGAGTACAGCATGGGGAAGACAGTCAATAATATTGTAATAACTATGTGTGATGCCAGGTGGGCACTGGAAATAACAGAGGACTCACTTCATAAATTATATGATTGTCTAACCACTATGCTCTATGCCTGAAACTCATACAAAATACTATTGAATGTAAACTGTAACCTAAAGTGTTTAAAAATAAAAAATAAATAAATAACACATGCATGGCATCATGGCATGTGGATGATTTTGCTTACTTTACCCAGTGTTATGTTTCTGAGGTCTATCCTGGCTGGTTTCTACACCTGCAGCTCATTGCTGCTGGGTTTGAAGTGTCTCCCATGACGCAACACTAGTTCTTTAACCTTCTCTCCCCACTGATGGACATTCACAGCAGGGCCAATTTTTTTTGTGATTACAAAGAGTGCCTCAATGAATGTCCTTGGTCTTACCTCCAGGTGCACGTGTGTAAGTTTCTCTAGGGTATATTCCGAGAAACAGAACTGCTGAGTGGGAGGGCAGGCTCATTTGCAACCTTACCCATTGCCAAACTGCTCTCCAAAGTGATTGTATCAACGACACTTCGCAAAATTCCCATTTTTTTTCCTTTTCCCATCCACTGTCACCACCTATTACAACTGTCCCACATTTTTCTCCTAAAACCACTCTTGGAATCTCAGGTCTCTCCCACAAAACTCTCCTCCATCTCCTACAAAAGCCCAAGAACTGGTTTGGCAAGATCGAGTGAGGGCTAGGAAGAAACTGCGTCAAGCAGGGCAGAGACCTTTGTCATGGGACTGTGGGAGAGGATGGAAGGAATTCTGGAGCCAGCATGTGTTAATCACTTGTACTGGGTCAGACAGACAGAGGGCCAGGTGATATGTGTAACTGTCAGGTTTTCCCAAAGCACAGCAGGGCTGCAAACGCTGAGCATCTGCTTCCTAATGGGTCAGGGAAGGACCCTTAGACAATTTTCCAAAATAGTGTTAGGATAAAGCGCAGTGAAATGTGTAAAATTCCACCCTGTGGCTGGGCCATGGTCCCTCAGGGGCCCTCTGCCCAGCCTTAGGGGGAGGCTGAGAACTGCTAGGACACACTTCTCATATACAAGCAATAGAGAGTTAGGAAATCTTGCCTAAAAGGGCCAACAATTTTATCAATTATTCAGTTTCCTCTTGTTTAATCTTTTTAGATCCTTTAAAAACCACAGAGTCAAAGCTTCTGGTCAAGACGTTGGCTGGGTAAATGTGCACTCACAAGCACATCAAAATTACAACTAAAGTGCAGAACAACCATCCTTCAGAATTGCCTGAATTCTAGCTGAACAGAAGTCCTATAACAAAGGATAAAGGAGGAAGCCACATGGAGACTGCTACGCAGGGAGCCCTCCAGTCTCCAACATGGTAATTGCTGACGTGAAGTTGATATTCGGTTTCACTCCAGCGAAACAAACAGTGGAAATGCTTGAACTATCTAGCCACGTGAGCAGGACAGAAGAGCGCAAAAACGATGTCTTGACGTGTGTGGAACAAGTTACCAACCAGACACGGAGCTTTTGCTTTCATCCTTCTAGAAGACACCCCTAAACCTGCTATTGTGCAAGTCTGTGATTACTATGAGACAGATGAAGCAGCTTTTGCTGAATTCAGTGCCCCTTGCAACACAGACTGGAGCAAGGAAATGTCTGAGGCCTGTACCCATAAACAGGGCTCTGCTGGAATCTCCAGAATCAAGACTCATTAAAAAGACTGTTTTATCTCTACATATAGATGCCAAATGTAGGGTGACTTAAAAAAATCAGAGAGTCTTGAAACCTATATAATTTTGTTAACCAATGTCACCCCAATAAATACAATAAAAAATTTTTTTAAATCACTTAGTCAATAATTTAGTTTTTGAGTAATTAGAATGTCAACGCCAGCAATTTTCTGTTTTTGTTTTCTAAAGTGTGAAGAACAATCCACTTGGAGAAGCACAGCAGGGATACTTCAATTTCTTTTTAAAAACGAGAAAGGATCAGTGTTGCAATGTTCTCTTTTTAATCATACGATGTCAACAATTTAGTTCTCATACGATCTAATCATATGATTTAATCATACGATCTCAAGAATTTAAAAATTTAGCAATTTTTAAAACATCAAAATGTCAACAATTTTTTTTTAATTCTAAAAGAGTCAACAATTGCATTCTTTTTCTTCTTCAGCACATTAATATTGGCTACATTTTAGAAATTCTCATTTTAGAAAAAATTTTTTCCTTTTTTAAAAAATATATTTTATTGATTATGCCACTAGAGTTATCCCATTTCCCCCTTTTCATTCCCCTCCAGCCTGCACACCCCCTCCCCACATTACCCCCCTTTAGTTTATGTCCACGTGTCACAAGTTCTTTAGCTTGTACGTTTCCCATACTATTCTTGCCCTCCCCGTCAATCTTCTACCTACCATCTATGCTACTTATTCTCTGTACCTTCTCCTCCCTTCTCCTCCTCCCACTCCTCTGTTGCTAACTCTCCATGTGATCTCCATTTCTATGGGTCTGCTCCTGATCTAGCTCTCCTCTTAGTTTGCTTTTGTTTTAAGTGTGGTTCTTAATAACTGTGAGTTTGCTGTCCTTTCACTGTTCATATTTTTAAACTCCTTTTTCTTAGATAAGTCCCTTTAACGTTTCATATAATAGGGGCTTGGTGATGATGAACTCCTTGAATTTGACCTTATCTGAGAAGCACTTTATTGCCCTTCCATTCTAAATGAAAGCTTTGCTGGATAGAGCAATCTTGGATGTAGGTCTTTGGAGTTCATGACTTGGAATCTTTCTTTCCAGCCCCTTCTTGCCTGTAAGGTCTCTTTTGAGAAATCCGCTGACAGTCTGATGGGAACTCCTTTGTAGGTGACTGTTTCCTTATCTCTTGTTGCTTCTAGGATTCTCTCCTTCATTTTAATCTTGGGTAATGCAATTATGATGTGCCTTGGTGTGCTCCTCTTCTGGTCCACCTTCTTTTAGGACTCTGAGCTTCCTGGACTTCCTGGAAGTCTATTTCCTTTGCCAGATTGAGGAAATTCTTCTTTATTGTTAGTTCAAATAAGTTTTCCACTTGTTGCTCTTCCTCTTCCCCTTCTGGTACCCCTATAATTTGGATGTTGGAACATTTAGAGATGTCCTGGAGGTTCCTGAGCCTCTCCTCATTTTTTTGAATTCTTATTTCTTCATTCTTTTCTGTTTGGTTGTTTCTTTCTTCCGATACACTCCGTTGATTTGAGTTTTCTTTCCATCACTATTGGTTCCCTGTGCATTTTGCCTCATTTCACTTAGTGTAACCCTCATTTTTTCATCTAACTTGCAACTAAAATCAACCAGTTCTGTGAGCGTCCTGATCACCAGTGTTTTGAACTGTGCATCTGATAGGTTGGCTATCTCTTGGTCGCTTAAAGGTATTGGCTCTGGGGCCTTGAGCTGTTCTTCTGCTTGAGCCACAATGTTTTGGTCTGTTCACGCCAGTCACGTATGACGGGGTTGAGCCTTGGCTGTTCAACAGGGTGGGTCAACCCACGTGCTTGACTGTGATGCTGTATGTGGGGGTGGGGTCAGACAGGGAGCAATGGTGTTTGTTTCGCTCTCCTTCAGATTTTGGTCCCCTCTGTCGCTTCCCACTTGTGTACGTTCTAGGACCCTGTGGGTCTCTCCAATGAACTCTCCTGTGAGGCTGGGAGCCTCTCCCGGCACCTCAATCCCCACAAGTGTTTTCAATTGGTGCTTTTAGGCTTTATATCCTGGCACTGGGGCCCTGGTTTGCGCAGTCTGTCTCACTGCTGGTTTTTTGCCTGGTTTATCTGCGTGCGAATGTGTGACCTTGGTCAGCCAGCTGCCCTGCGCCCCTACTGGGTCTGCCCGTTGCCACCCCACACCTGGGATCTGCCAACCACTGCCTGCACGCCTGGGTCAGTCCTGATGCTTTTTCCTGCCACGACCCTGCTCCACCAGCCGCTGACTTTGCCCCTCTTACTGGTCTGGATGAATGGTTTGTTGTTGTCAGGCTTTGGTACAGTTCAATTTTTTGTCTGTGTTTGTTTCTAAAGCTTTGTTGTCCTCAAATTTGGTTGTGTGAGGAGGTACAGTATTTCCACTTACGCCTCCATCTTGGCTGGAAGTCTCTCGGGAAAGATTTTTTTTTTAATCACTCACATTCCCACCTCTCTTAAGCGGCTGCTGCTATCATTTTGATATGCTTCCTTCTGCTTCTTTTTCTTTGCATTTAGAAAACCCATAACAGATTCAATGAACACGGACTGTTCACCCACTGGTATTCCACACCAGGAGTGGGCAGAGGAAAAATGACCCCAACTTGCTTTGGCTAGATGGCAGTTGGTCAGAGTGTCATTCCATGCACCAAAAGGTTGTGGGTTCGATTTCCAGTTGGGGAACGTACCTAGATTTTGGGTTTGGCCCCAGTTGGGGCACATGTGGGGGGCAATCGATTGACGTTTCTCTGGAACATGATGTTTCTCTCCCTCTCTTTCTCCTTCCCTCTCTTTAAAATTAAATAAAGTCTTAAAAATAAAATAAATTAAAATCAAACATACCCATATTTTTCAGACTATAAGATGCACCCCATTTCCTCCAAAATTTGCAGGGGAGTGTGTCTTATAGTCCAAAAAACATGGTATCCTCCAGTGAGGATGTTTTTTTTAAATGACCCAAACTTTGGCCAGGCCCTCAGTGAGCCCACAGTCTGGCTGAAGAGGTGACATGTACACCCAAGCAGACATGAAGGCTTGATTCAGCATTCTAATGTGGGCCCAGAGTGATAGGGGGCCCCAGGAGCTGGGGTCACATTGGATGGGAAGATGGGAGCTCTTGATGGGAGCTCATATCCAGATGATTGCAGTGTCAAGGGACTCCTTTCAATGTGAATCTGTCACACCTGCTTTCGTCAATGAATACCACAGGCAGAGTGCTGAGAAACTTCGGTGTTTGAAAACAGGTCAGTGAAACTGAAACATTCCCCTCTCACCTAGTGGGTCAGAACCAGATTTGACATAGAGAAGCAGCCTGGATTACCCACCCAGGTGCAGAGCCTCGGGTAAGGGATTTTTGGACACAGCAGTCTATTTATCTTAACTTTGTGGTATCAAAGAGAACGAGACCCGTGAGTCCATGTCTCAGCCCAAGCCAGATGTTAACAGCCTTCCTCAGAGCCAGGTTTGCTCTGAGCCTATCAACACTGCTTCACTTCAACTTCATCTAAATTCCATTCTTTCTCTAAATCCTATAACAACCCTGTCCTTTTCCTTTAATTAGTGAGACACCCCATGGCTCCTCTGGGTGCTTGCTGAATCAAGTTAATAAACCCAACTTTGTTAAACTACACTGGTATCCCCGGTGGTCTTTATCAGCTTGACTTTATAAAATCCAAGCCTTCTCTGTTCATTCATTTGCTCGTTTATTCATTCAACAAATATCTGTCCAGGCTATGCTCAGTTTTAGGTGCTGGAGACACAGTGACAGGATGACAGCTGGAAGACTTTGATCTAGTTCAACCCTCTCATTTTATGGATAGGAAAACCAACACTGGGAGGAAATGGCAGTGGCATTGCAGGAGTGAGAAAAGGGCCCACAGTAGCTATGGGAGGTAGTGGTGGGACCACAAGCAAGGAGCCCTGGTTCTCCACCTGTCCATCTGGGAAGGAGCTTACGGATCAGCAGTGGCCGTGTAAACAAAATGCACATCTTCCCCTCTCCAAGGACAATGGCTCTTGGGGTGATAACCCAGTAAGGGCATTTGAGGTGTCCCTTGCCTGCTTCATTTGGACAGGCCAGTAAAAGGAGAGTGGGATGAGCCATTCAGAGTGCCTCTTCCTAACGGCCAAGTCCTTTGTCTTTCAAGGAGCAAGGTGGAAGGGCTTCCTTGTTTACCATCTTTGCGCTGCTTCTTACAGCCTGTGCCATTTACATAACTTGTGTGCCCACAATCAAATGCAACCTAAACCCAGAATCAAACCAGGTTAGTGAAAGGTTTTCTTAGGCTCTGACGAGGAAGAAATGCCAACCAGCCACAAAGTTAGGCAGTGTAGAGGTTTTTTCCCCCTGGGCGAGGTTCTCCGGTCCGCAGAGTGGGGCTGGGGGAAGTCACACTCAAGCAGGTAATATGGCGTGGTTTTATTTTGGTTGGCTCTTTCCTGGGAGCTGGGGATTGGTCTCCTTTGAACAAAGTGGCAATATATCATTGATGACTTTCCTTGGGCTAAGGTTGTTATGTGGATATCTGTTTTGGCAAAGCCCGCCCTTTCGGCTCGCTGATTTGACGTTAGCCATCTTTTCCGGTTGTAGTCCAGCCGCCATTTTGTCTCATCCTGCCCATCTACACTGCCCATCCTGACACTCTACAACTTAAAAAATTTCAGTTAACCATCAGTAATTGGAAAGCCTCGGGAAGAGGCCCACAGGACTAAGATTGACCCTCCCAGATGCATGGGCTCACCCCCTGGACAAACTGTTAAACCCGCAGGGCATATGCCCTCTTCTGTCCAGGTAGACTGAGGCAGGGGTACTTAATAGACTGTGCCCATTTCCTCATGTGAAGTGATTCCATGGGGTGCCATACAGGACCACTGTCTCCGAAGAGCAGCCACCCAGCCTTCTCTTTCCGTTTCTTTCCTCTGGGTAGTGCAAGGACTCAAGGGTGTAACTTTTGGGTGGGGTGCTGACTCAGCTGCAGGCGGGCTTCTAGGGTGTCTCAATTCCCCGCTTCACCCTCTTTTCGTTCTGCAGCCGGGCAAACTGTGCCTCAAAACGACAAAGAACTTCCGCGGAGCGGAAAAGCCGCCTAGGCTATACCCAAAGGCCCACCAGACTACAGAATCGAGGAAGACCAAAGCCCGTCATGGGTTAAAACCATAAAGTTGGGGAGCACCCCCCCCCCAAGCCTAGAGAGACCCTGCCCCTCTAACCTAGCTCCCCTCTACTCCCAATTTCCGGACAGGGACAGACTTCCGGTTCCGGCGATGGGCTACAAATCTCTGCTCTCGGGCGGTGGTCTCTCTTTCTCGGAGCTGGTTGTGGGATCTGCCTGTGTTGGTGAGCTGCCCCTGTCCCGTTCCTCCGCCCCCTGAAGTGGTGGATGCGCAGGTGAATGTCTCGGTGAATGTCTCGTCCGCCTCCTTCCCCCCGGGCGCCGTCTGTTGGGAGCTGGGGACCCTCGTGTCGGCCGGGGCGCCGGCCTTGGAAGTCGGGAGGCCTTGGCCTTGGCCTTGGGGGGGGGGGGGTCGGCCAACTGCTCCGCGTGGCGGGACGTTGGGCCTCACATCGGCGGAGGAGGAGCAGCGGGTAGTGGTGCGGCAGCCAAGAAGCGCGTTTTCCGGCCGGGCCTCATTCCTCTGAGCCGCGCCCATGTTGGTGGGAGGAGTCGGGCTGGCTCCCCGCCCTAGACGCCGAGAATTTTTTACTCTGCTGAGTTGTCCCACCGCTTTCTATCTTTGTGACCTTAGGCACTTCTCCTCTCTCCGAGCTTCAGTTTGCTTGTTTGTGCCTGGAAGTAACCGTAACAGCCTTAATGGGTTATCGGGAGGATTGGATAAGCGGAAGGTGCCGCGGGCCGTTTGGTGTGTAAAATTCAAACAGTAGCAGCGGCAGCTGTTAGCAGCTATTATTCGAGACAACTGGGGCAGTAGAGAGTCGTATCTAAAGTTTAACCTGAGAGGCTAAGAGGAGCGCAGAGAAGATACTGTGAAATGCGCAGCCCCGTGCCAGATGGGAAATGGTGCCCAGGGAACAAGTTAGTACGTGGAGAGCGCATGCACTGTGTCTGCTGGTCTTCTGAAAATGCTAAGATTTGTTAGCGGTGTTCATCTTTCAAAACCAACCTTGAGAATGGACCCACTGACAGTGGAGACTTTAGAAGCCGGGATTGTAAAGCCCTAGGTGCTGGAAACTAAAATTACTGAAACGGTGTTTTCCTAAGTGGGTTAGGGGTTTTTCGCTCAGAAAAGTTTTCTTCCTCTTGGCTTATGAAAACTATACCAAAAGACACAATGAAAAGTGTTTCCCTCTACTGTTCCTGCCTCTTGGAAGTAAATGCAATTTAATTTCTTTGATAACTGTCCAGGTATTGTTTGTGGAAAGATCAGGTTGTATAAGCTTATGTACATGTATTTTTAATTTCCTCGATACTGTGGGTATGGATGGATATGTACCTTGGAGTTACGGACATCTTCACATACGTCAGCACTCAAGAGCCTGCTTCATTCCTTCCAAGGCTGCACAGTGTCCCACACAGTGGCTGACAGTACTTCATTTGATTCTCCCATTCATGGTCAACCTGTTCCCAAATTTTGTTTTCCCACACAGTGTTTCATCCACTTTTCCTTGACTAAATATTTCCTTTTTTTTCAAAGCAGCCCTGCATTATGACAGTATTTTGCTTTTGTCTTCATCACTCTAGTTAGTGACATCTTATTTTTGGGGGTGGGCATACTTCTTATTTGATGATATGCGTAGAATTGCTGTACTCCCAAGAATAATCATGCTGTAGGGTCTAGGATTGAATCAAGACTCCTAGAAAATGGGTCAGCTTTAGAGAGCAGGTGAGGAGGAGCTGACAACTAGTTCACGTGGGGTAGCTGGTCATTTGTTCCCCAGGAAACAAGAGTGGATGCCCTGAAGTGGGAGTGATTTTAAATGTCAACGCTTCTGTGTCGATATGGAGGAATTAGATCTTGCGGAAGGGTAGTTGATGGAAAAAGATGATCTCTGAAAACCAACTACCTCATAGGGTTATACTCCGATTGGACCTACCCTGATGTGGAAGTTAATGTAGTCCTTACTGTCATTTGAGTTTTTCCTCTGCTCCTTGGCAAAAAAAAAAAAAAAAATTAACAAACGGTGTGGTTTTCCGGTAAATGTCCTCTTCTGGACTGGCGCCCTAACCCAAATGATGCAAAGCCCCCTTTTTTCTGGCATTTTACCAGTATTTGATTTGCCTACTCTTTTCTTCTCATAGTTGGTTGGTAAGTCCTAGAGCCATCAGCTGTGCAAAAGACATTCTGAGAAGTTCAATTTCCCAGACGCTGACTGGAGAAGCTTAGGATTCTGATTTTAACAGAGCCTTTTGGCTTTTCTTTCTTTCCTCTCTCTTTCTTTCTTCCTTCCTTTTGCCTTACCCTGATGGTAGTTCCTAAAGTGACACTTGCTATGTCAAGAAAGAGGTAGGGGTAGGTGGGAAAGACCGTGAACATGTAAACAAACAAACCTTTTTCTCTTCCATCATAGCACCCCTTTGTAATTCGCTTTTGGACATCACAGTAGCTTCATAAAAATAGATGGAGGAAACTAATAACCATTATTTTTAAGGTTTATTCCCCTCTACAAATCATTTGTATATACAAATTATATATGTATAGTTTTTAGCATAATGTAAAATACTTTGTAATGGAGGAAAGATTCTCTGGCTAACAAGGGCAGTGTTCATTCTTTCTGCTTTGAGAATATATTTTTCATTTTGGTAAATTATTAACACACTTCTCCATTCTATCGATTGATCCAGCAAGGGGAAACCAAAATAGAATTTCTAGTAACTGCATAAAGAAAACCTATTAGAACAGAAACACACTCATAGATAGAGAACAAACTGTTGCCAGAAGGGAGGAGAATTAGGAGGATGTATATAAAAGGCAAAGGGTTTAAGAAATGGAAATTGGTAGTTACGTGGGGATGTAAAGTTCATTGTAGGCGCTATAGTCAATAATATTGTAATAACTTTGGTGCCTGGTAGGTACTTGAATTATTTGGGGAGATCACTTTGTAAATTATATAATTGTCTAACCACTATACTGTACATCTGAAAGTAATATAAAATAATACTGTATGTCTACTGTAATTGAATAATAAAATTAAAACAATCTGCATCTCTGAAAAGAAAAAAAGAAAACCTTTTACAATTGAAGAGCTGATAGAACCTGAGACTATACCAAATCCAGGAGATTAAGGTGGTTTTCGTAGCCTTTGTGGGTTTTTTTAATGACGGTGACTTCTCTTTCTCCCTAGGAGCCTGAGTCATCCTTTTCTAGAGTTCCAGAATGGAGACTGAAGGAGACCCAGACACACAAAGAAATAGAGAAGTCCAGAATGCTGAAATGATGTCACCATCAGATGAGATGGTGGCTAAGGAGCCAGAAGATGTCCTTCCTGCAGCTCCCCAGGCCCAGCTTCCGCAGGAGCCTTCTGGGCATCCACCAGAGAGCCTTGATGAAGGTCGTGTCGAAGATGTTGAGACCCCGCCAAGAGCAAGTCCTCTCAACCCTGCAGTCTTCAGGCAGATGTTCAGAAGGTTCCGCTACGAGGATGCACGCGGGCCCAGGGATGTCCTCAGACATCTCCTGGTGCTTGCGAGGCTGTGGCTGAGACCTGATATTCACACAAAGGAGCAGATTGTGGAGATGCTGGTGCAGGAGCAGTTTCAGGCCGTCCTCCCTGAAGAGCTCAAAGCTCAGGTGCAGAAATGTCAGCCTGGGGCCAGATTCACTGGCTAAGTTTCGCTGCTGACTTCTCACTCAGCCTACAAATGAGGCTGGTTTGGTTAAAGGTTCTCTTTGTTGCAAATTCCTACTACAGTCATGGGAAATTTGAACCTCCGTTTTTTGTTTGAGTTTGCCTTTGACTAGTTGTAATAAGAATCAAAACCCATGTCTGGACCTCTTTTTGCCTGAGGCCGTTCTATTTCCTGGGACTCTGAACTCCAGAAGGAGTTTCTCTGCCCTCTTGTTAGGACAATCAGCCTGCTGCTTGTTTTTGTTCCGCTGAATGTCTCCTTTTTTGCACTTTGTGACATCCTTTAATATATTGTTTATATGTATCCAAAGAAGTCATTGCTTTAACTTTCAGAATTCTTGATTCTTGCTGTTGTGGCATATGAGTGGGAGCTTCTGTAACCCCACCGGTAACTCATTTGGGATGTCCTTGAAATATTAAAAGTTTGGTTCTTAATAAAAATGTTCTGTGGTAATTTACCAATATAGCTTTTAGTCGTCAGCATTTGAGATAGATAATTATCAGGAATAGCAGAGCTAGAGATAAGAACTAAGACTGTAGCATTTACTGAGCTGGGAAATAAAAACAGGCCTGGCCTTTGTTTTCAAAGTCAGAATTTAAACTGGGCAAAATGGGGTCATAAGAGCTAAGTAACTCTTAACGCAGAGCTGTTGAATTTGCTTTCTCCGATTCCATCACCTTTGCTCTACAGCTCGGCTTCCTAAAGTCGTGTGACAGTTCTGGCTTTTTGTGTGCGGAGACCTGTATTTAGGCTGCCAGCCGAGACAGAGCAGTAGCTGTGGTTGTGGCAGAGTAAACAGCAACTCTTTCCCAGCATGACCCAGTCTGAGGAGCCTTTTTGCCTCCGCAGCCTGGCTCTTGGATGTATAGCTCTGGTAACAAACTGTGTGCCAATTTACAACTAATTTTGGGTTAGGGGTGATTAGCTCCATGCTGCTGTTTTTGTTTTTAAAGATCTTATTTAGAGAGCGGGGAGGGGAGGGAGAAAGGAAGAGAAACATTGATGTGAGAGACATTAATCGGTTGCCTCTTGCATGTGCCTGGACTGGGGACTGAACCTGCTTGCAATCCAGGCATGTGCCCTAAACCTGTGACATTTAGCTCTGGTCTAACCAACCAAGTATTGCCGCTGGTATTTGTTTAGTACTTCTTGTACCTTTAGTACCATTCTAGATGTGAGAATACAAATATAAAATACGTAAAAGTCAAAGAAGAGCAAATAGCCACATTGGGTAAGTGAGAGTTGAACTTGAGTAGATCACTAGAGAGAAGCATGGGAATATAAAAGCCTATATAATGTTTGAACATAAAGACAAGTAAACAATGCCTCTTATTAACTAGATAAAGCTTCTCTTAATTCTAGGGGGAGGTTTAACACTGGGAAAGGAGTTGGTAATGCTGAAAGGGTCCTAGGTATTTCCTTTGGTCTGCAGGAATCAGGAACTCCTGATGTTAAGGAATTTCCTGTCCTACACCAGTTTCTTAGCTGTTTTCAGTGACCTAGAATTTTGCATGCAAGTAAATGGGTTTCATGGCAAGACAGCTGAGGTTTCCTGAATTAACTAGCACACATTTTGTTCAACTTTGGTCGCACTTTGGGGCCAGGTAAATATCTGTGGAGGTCGTCCTATCTACCGTATACCATAGAGGAATTTCAGCATCCCTAGCCTCTGCCCACTAGATGATAGGTAGTAGCAGCCTCCCTAAATGTGACAACCAAAAATGTCTCTAGACAATGCTAAGTGTCCCCATAAGGCAAATTTGCTCCTGGTTAAGAACCACTGATTATTAAATAGAGTTCATCAGAGACTGATGAACGTAAGCAACTTGGCCAGTAAGTTAGTGGAGCTAAAACCTGAGCCTTGGATCTCTGGTCTTGGGCTTTTTTCATCAGGTTTGGCAGTGTTAACAAGTGTTTCTTGAGAACCTCCTGTGTGCAAAATGTTTCGTTTATTTTCACCAAACTGAAAGTAACATGTCTTAGATTTATTTGGTACAGAAAAAGTATGAAAGTAAAACCAAAAATGGTACATAAACTCAATTCCTAGGTACCTGCAATTGACATTTTTAAAAAAGATTTTTATGAGCATTTTTTAAAAAGATTTTATTTATTAGAGAGAGGGGAGGGGAAAGAGAAAGAGAGGGACAGAGACATCAATGTGTGGTTGCCTCTCATGTGCCCCACACTGGGGACCTGGCTTGCAACCTAGGCATGTGCCCTAGACTGGGAATCGAACCAGTGACCCTCTTATTCGCAGGCCTGTGCTCAATCCATTCAGCTATGCCAGCTGGAGCTGTTTAAAAAGATTTTCTTTAATTTACTTTTAGAGAAACATCAGTGTGTGAGAGATACATTGATTGGTGTCTCCTGCACGCCCAGAACGGGGCCTGGCCCAAAACCCATGCAGGCATGTGCCCTGGCTGGGACTAACTGGCAGCCTTTTCTGGTTTGCAGGCCAGCACTCAATCCACTGAGCTACATCAGCCAGGGTGCTACTGATCTTTTTTTTAAAAAATAATTTATTTATTTTCAGAGAAGAGGGGAAGGGAAAGAGAAAGAGAGGGAGAGAAACATCAATGTGTGGTTGCCTCTCATGTGTCCCCCACTGGGAACTGGCCTGCAATCTAGGCGTGTGCCCTGACTGGGAATCTAACTGATCCTTTGCTTCACAGGCCCGCGCTCAATCCACTGAGCTACACTAGCCAGGGCTTTGATCTTTTTTAAGATAAAGATACTTGTATGTGGATAGAAAAGTCCAACAGTATAGAAGGGCATAAAAGGAAAATTTGAAGGCTGGCTTCCCATTTACAATTTCTAATGTTCCAGAAAATGTGAATTACACATACGTAAGCTGATACATAGATGTGTGTATACACATCCCTTATTCATATAAAATATATATTATGCATATTTAGTGTATATATATATATATTTTTTCCCTGCCCAATAAGCCTTGGGGGGTCTTCTATCAATATAAAGAGATTCACTTAAAGAGTTTTTTTAGCAGCTGCAGAATAGTTCCTTGTATGGCTAATATCAATACCTTAGATGCAAAGTAGAATATTTAGGTATGGAGTCAACCTCCCAAGCGTAAGTGAAGTTTCAGAGACGGAAGTGACCGAGCCAAGACTCAATGCCCATGTTCTAAAACCAGAACTGCTACAACGCACAGTTGTTCAGCACTGTCTCCCAGCAACTGGTGTGGTACCAGCTCTTTCCTAAGGAAGTGAATTTACAGATGCGATTGCTTGCCCTAAACCCAGGAAGATGAGAAGCTGGAGTTCTCCATTTCACTTGGCTTTAGCCACACACCCCTGCCCCAAGGTCACACTGTCTGCATTGAGAACCAATTCCATTGTCTGAAGGCTCTGGGGATTTGGAGTACAGTAATTTCCTAGCTGTCCCGACACTCCCTGAGATGATTCCTATTCCTATGCTTTCTCTACTCAGTGGACACTACCCTGTTACCACCATTGTCATCGTCATTTCTTGAGTTCATGCAAATCCCAATTCTAAAACTCGGACAACTTTTGTCCTGCGAGGGATGGGGAAGGAAGAAAACAGTGGAGGAGCCAGAGGAAAGTGTTTCTAAAATGTGTCATGTTTAATTTTCCCTTTGTGATTATTTTGACTCCAAATTCTACGAAAGAATAATTTCATCTAGTTCTTGAGAACTACTCCTGCCAGATGGCTACTGGTGAAAATCAGATGGGACCACAAAGGAACATGAGATTGCCAGCAACTGGCCGGTGCCATGGAAAAATGTCATTTGTCGGGCAGCCACTCCCTGAGCAGTGAGTGGGTGACAGGCCAACTCCAGGAGGGGTGGGGGCTGTGAGGAGGCCATGGTAGTGGCAGCTGGAGAAGTCAAGTGTAACTGGCCTTCCCAGGAGCGTCATGTGTGGTCAGTTTCCATAAGCCACTCAGTACAATGCACTTGACAATGACGACTGTTTTGCTGAACTCTTCCTACCCACTGTCATGCATTTATTGGACATTTTTCCTTGGCCTGGAATGCCCATCCCCCATTCTTGCCAGCCTACTCCTATTCATTCTTCATTATGCAGTGGGCATGGCCACCTTCCCAAAGCTTTTGTTTGTTTTAAATTGATTTAGAAGGGATTGAGAGAAACATGGATCCGTTTCACTTATTTATGCATTCATTGGTCGATTCTGGTATGTGTCCTGACTGACCCATAACCTTGGTGTATCAGGATGATGTTTAAACCAACTGAACTACCTAGTCAGGGCTCCGAAGGCTTTTTTTTTTTAACGTCTGCCTTCCATAGTCATCTGAAGTCCTCCTGTGAGCTGTGATAACATGTCAGCTTTAGTTCTCTTATCCCTGTTCATTCAGCATATAGTACACATGTGCCCAGTGTGCCATGCCCTGTTCTAAGTGTCCCCATAGTGCAGCTTCTAGTTTGTGTCCCTAGGCAGGTTGTGAGCTCCATGAAGGCGGAATCTCTACATGGTAGGCCTCCAACACAGGTCTTGCACGGGGCTTATCCTCAAGGAACTGTTTGATTTTTGTAGGAGACGTACGGTTGCTCCCTGATTTACGATGTTTCCTTCTAGTGAACACAGATAACTAGAGTTCATGGGAGACCATTAAGTGCTATATTAAGAAGGGGGCCTGGCTGGTGTAGCTCCGTGGATTGAGCGCGGGCCTGCGAACCAGACAATCATGGTTCGATTCCCAGTCAGGGCACATTCCTGGGTTGTAGGCAGGTTCCCTGCAGGCCAGTTCCCAGCAGGGGATGCACGAAAGGCAACCATACATTGATGTTTCTCTCTCTCCCTCTCTCCTTTCCTTCCCCTCTAAAGATAAATAAATAAAATCTTTAGAAAAAAAAAAAAAGAAGGGGGCAGAGCGTGAGATTATTCATTCCTGTGTAAGGGTTGTGGATAGCAGTAAAAGTTAAACCAAAAGCAGGAGGGGGCAGCTTCCCCTAGGTGATTGGCTTCCCTCTCCATTCTGCCCCTGAGTTTGCAATTAGGCGAGGTTAAAAACCGTGCACTGGCTCTGCTTGAAAGCTCTAGGGCCCCCTTGGTGCCTAGCAACAACCTGACTGCCCAGAAGATGATTTTGAAGCTGGGTGTGTCTCCCAGGCAGGAAGCCACCTACACCGCCAAAGCAGCCAGGGCCTCCCCTTCACTTCCTCTGAGCCCAAACTCCACCTTCAATTGGGGCCAGTACACTCAGTGTTTCGGAGCCCTGCCTTAGAGCACAAATGGGATGTTTCTAGCAGAATAGCTCTAGTATCTACAAGGTGCGTGATCTCAGACAAGTCACGTCACCTCTCTGAGCCTCAGTTTCCACACCTGTCTTACTCTTCCTGTTTTCTTCCTAGCTAGGGTCACCCTAGCTCAGCATTAGAGGCACAGGGACATTCGATAAACGCAATTGCATCTGAATCTGCTTGGTTAGGGGAAGGCT